TTCCCATCAAATAATTCACAAACATCCTATGTTTCTTTCACTAGACCTGTGTTTGTATTGTATTGTTTTGTGGTTTGCATTCATTTCTATGAGGATTCCATATAGTTGGGAAATTGTGACTGGTGGCTGTGTTTTTAGACCTGTTCCGTCTGCAGGGATCTTCCCCTAGTTGATTTGGTTTTGCTTAAGGCAGGAGCTACAGGAGCTGAGGGGCTGGTCCCAGGACCTTCCCATGGTCAGGATGCAGCCTGCTACCTCCCCAAGCCGAGACAGCGCTCCTCTCTGCTTCTGTGTTTCCTGAAAATGGGTTCTTGGACAGAAAGTTTTAACAAGGCTCGACTGACTTTTCGCTTCAAGACTGCTGGCTAGTAGGCTCCCTTAGCGTCATCTGTTGTGGCATTAGCTGGGCTTTTGCACTTAGTATCCAGTGCCATTGGAGTGGTATAGATGCAATTGACCAGCACTTCAGTTCGACCTGCCTTTTTCCTTCTACTGAGCATCTGTAAAAGGAGTTGTGCCCTCATATGTTCTGTGCTCCTCTGGGAGTATGATTCTTATTTCAGTAAGAAATAGCATAGACACGTTGAGTCTTTCCTTTCATTTAGCATCTTAATAATGATAACTGTGTTGCCTGCCATCCTGTGAAGATGAACAATTATTTCATGGTGAGCTCAAAGTTATGTTATGTATATGACTCACTTGAGTCCACCAGAGTTCTGTTGATAAAACTGACCCACCATGGCCTGAATTACTCTTCTGGTTGGCCCCAGGATCCTGAAAGAACCCAGTAGATCTCGACACAGCTTTCCTGCTCTTCTCTGTTCACCATCTGTCCTGGGCACACATCTGCCTCTGCACTGTGTCTGGGTGCCCATGGTATTCTGCAAGTGGGAGGCTGAATCCCTGTAAGTGGGAGGTGGGATTTGGTGACCACACTTAGGTGCTACTCACACAGCCCTTTTGAGTCAGAAACTCCCAAAGACATACCCAAAATGAGACCTTGGAGACCACACAGAAAGGAGTAACAGGGAGCTTGCTTACCTTCTCCTGGAGGTTGAGGCTGGCATTTCATACTAGAGCCTAGCAAGCCAGCCATCCCAAACTAAGACACCAGGAGGATAGAAGTGGAGACCCGGGGAGATGGCTGGTCACTGGGCTTCCCATGACTGCTGGCTGTGAGGCAAGCTGCCCCTCCTCTAAGGCACTCACTGAAGACACTTGAGGACGCCTCCAGCTTACCCTACAGTCACACACCAAGAGATCAGGGTGCAAAGCCGTATAAGTATGAACAATCCTGTCCCCTTCCATGTCACTTCACTCCTTTTAGCGAAGCAGTGCCCATAAGAGCTCATTTCCATTCCTGGGTCACAGTCACATGGAAAACCTGATCCAGACACCAACTTCCTCAGGACTCTCCATTTTCCAGACATCCAGTTATTACTGCGGGGGTTGACCATCCCATCTCTCAGCTCCAGAGGAGGCAGGTGTGTGGACTCTGCTAAGCAAATGCCCATGGGTGCAGTGAGGTCTGGCTTCCTGCATCAGCTTCAGGTGGGGATGGGAGGGGAGTTAGGGGCCCAAGGGGAAGGATTTTGTATGAACCTGTGTCACGGCATTTACTGGTATTCAATGGAGGACAACTGACCATTTATTTAGATAGATGTCTTCTTCCCTTTCCTTCCTACTCTGCATGAGTTGAGTGACACACATAACGATTTCAGTCTTTGTCTGTGACTTGCCAGCCTGTGGTCAGGAGTTTCCTTTATAGCCTCAAGTCTGTGATGTCTCCTCCCTATTCACCAGAACTCCTGTATGCCTCAGCTGGAGTGCTGGGGTTTGCCCTTTACTCTGTCTCCTCGGCCCCAGGAAAAGCAGGGATTTCAGACATAGGAGATTTTACTGGTATGTCTCATGAGTGACTTCTACCCTGAGAGCCAGCAGTGGTAGCCTGGAAGGTAGATGACATGTCTCCACTGTGTGGAGACCACCACGCCCTCCAAACAGGCAACAAGGCTACCTGAGCCTGGTGCCAAAGTGGAAGTCCACGGCCTCTGCAAGCTGCAGGTCACGCAGAAGAGAACACAACAGAGGAACCCAGTGGCCCCTGCAGCATGTTCTTAGGTATGACCCTCACCTACCACGCAGGGTCCTAGACCTGTGGGATCAGCATGTGTGTGTCCATACACCCACCCCCAACTCATCCAGCCCTTCTCCCTGCACCCCCAAAACCCTCAATAATATCTTCATTGTCAACAAGAAATCCTGCTCCCTCTCTACGTTTTCTTATCACAACTTGTTGCATTTAACCTCCTTAAATTTCAGTGGGGATGAAATCAGGTGTTTTTTTTTATTGGGTGAAGGGTGATCACATGGTGGTGCCATCTGAGAACTTGTGGGAAAGGGCAGAGATGGTAGGTGGATTTCTGATTTTCCCTTACAGGTTGGCTAAGCAAACACTGACAAGCCCTGCAACAGAGGAAGCAAGTCAAGATCCTGTAACGTCCAGCCACTCAGTGAGCCCTAGCATGCTCTGAATCTGGTGTTCATGCTCATAGCTGGAACCTGGGTTGAGGCTGGGCACCACAGGCATCCAAGTTGTGATCAAATGAAGCAGTTAAAATTACCAGCTACTTGCATGTGGCCAGATCTCAACATAAGCCAATTAAAATCAAGGCTCAGAGTGGAGGAGTGTGTTGCTTGGTGGTGTGGCCAACTAAACCTGCGATGCTCAGCTTGTGTGAGGAGGACTCCAGTGAATGGGAGCAAATGAGCAAAGAACACTGTCCCAGGCACAGAATGGGCATCCCCATGGTTATCTTAGGGGACAGTCATGAAACCTCATTGGGTAGGAAGTCCAAGGCTGATCACTAAGGTCTCAGCACAGGTGATGACCTTGTAGGAGCCTCAAACAAGTCGACCACACAGGGACCTCAACTGCCCCCAGGCACCTCACAGCCACCCACCAGGCCCCTTCCCTCCGTCACTCGTTGTTCCAGCATCTCTTACTCACCGCGGTGCACGTTACGCCCTCACTCAAGAGCACCCTCATCCCAGGGTCCCTGACAGCAGCAATTTGGTCCGCCGAGCCTGCTGCCTGGTGATCCACCAAGTGAAGGCTGGGCCCAGGGTTTACTGTTTCTGGTTCATCAGGGACATGGCAAGCAGCTGCTGGGTGGCCATCCAGGGCAGGACAGGCTGCAAGGCCTGAGGGACTTTCAATGATGAAGAGAGGGGCCCCTTTGGAGCTCAATCTCAGCCTTACCCAATCACAGCCGTGGCCAGACTGGATTCAGGCACCCAGAGTTCCTCCATACTCTAATGTGACCCATTTCTGCTTCAGCAGAAAATTCAAAGCCTTGGAGCTGCATAGTGTTCCCAGCTTCACCCTCTCTATAAGATGTTGTACATTTTGATGATGAAGATCTCTGAACACAAAAATGGGGATACAGAAGAATAAGTAATGGCTCCAGGTTCCCATCACCGGTCCCCATCATCCATTTTCAGATAATGCCGGACCCTCCCATAAATATGCATAAGCCTCCCTCGAGCAGGGCAAAAGAAGCAAATGCTAGTCATCACACACCACTTTAACTGGAGAGAGAACACCAGGAGTTTGTGACATCAAAAATAGTCAACGAAGGTCTCATCAAATGTCTTTTCGAATATGTCATTGTATCTTTTTGGTTAAACTCTGTGGTGCGCTGCATATCATAGTTTAATTTCGTTTCCTGCGTGGATTGTCTTGATGTTATCACTGGTGAATGTGTTTTAAGCCATCTCCATCTGCAGGGTGTCTCCCAAATGCCTCTGGCTTTCCTGGCAAAGGCAGGAGCTGCAGGAAGACAGTGCACTGATTCCCTGGCGTCGGGATGCAGCATACGCCTCCTAGGAAGATCAGGCAGCTTCCCTCAACCTCTCTTTTCCCTAAAAATGGTTCTAGCATCAAAGAACTCAGAGGGGTTCAGGCTGGACATTAGCATAATCCATACAGGACATGTGCTTCACTTCCCAGGAAGCCACCCATGTTGTGTTGTCATTCCTTTTAGTGATATCAAGCTAATTGATGATCCCAATAACTATTACCTGAAGATGAGAAGGAAGGCAGAGAGGCCTTGAGATTCAATTCCTCTCTGCCTCCTCATGAGGCTTTACCCTGAAGGGAGGGCCCAGCAGCCCTTTCTGCACTCAGGAGTGTCACTTCCCTTTAAGGAAGAAAAAAATGCCACATTAACCACTTTTCTTCAACTTTGCATTAGCATGATCATCTGATGCTACACACCTTCTAGGGCAAACTGTGCAGTGGCATGTGAGAGGGCATCTGACATGCGGAGTTCCACTGGGACCTGTTGAATTAACTGTGTGAAAATGCAGGCTACAAAACACTGAACACCACTGGGCACCTCCTCAGGTGGCATCTGAATTTCTCCATTACCCCAGGCTTCCTGGTGGCTCCTGAGTTTCTCTCAAGAATGAGGAAGTTCTGTCATCTTGTCCCTTGCCTGCCCCAGGCTGGAGTCTCCCACCCTCAAAAATTACACTGGCAGAGGTGATATTTGGGTCACTCAGAGCTCCTTTACCATATTACACCCATTTCCAAGCAGCAATGGCGGCCCCACTTACCCTCACCACCCAATATAGAACAGGTTGAGGGTGCAGGAGATCTTCCATTTCACCCTGGACCTGGAGGATGGGGCTGGCATTCCGGTGGGAACCCATGGCCTCCACTGGTCAGACCCATCCCAACTAGGACCAACTTGAAGGAAGATTGGGCTGAGACTCCCTGGAGTCACAGCTGCGTTATGGGAGGTTCCCAGGACACTCTGGGGTAACCTGCTTCTCCCTGGAGGGGAAGAATTACTCTACCTCATCAGGGGTCTATCACACCAAGTAGTCAGTGTTGAGTCAGCTCCACCAGGGAGACCATTTCTCCTGACCACAGAGAAGTTCACTCCCTAGTGACCTGCATGCCCTCAATAAACTCATGCATCCATGGCTACATGATGGTTGGTGGGAAAACCAAATCCATTGTCTTCCAGGAACCAGGATTTCTAGGGATCCTGCTGCTGGTCACAGGATGTCACCTGTCAACCTCTCTCTGTGGGGATGAGTATGGCAGCCGTGTAAACTCCCTCATGAGCGGATGCCACCAGGGTGGGTAGCCCCAGCTTCCTCTCACATGCAAAGTGGGGGTTGGGGTAGGGGCGTCAGGAGGGTTTTGTGCCAAGTCTGTGTCACAGCATTGGGTGTTGCGAGACCAAGCTGACCATCCTAGGTAGTCTCTTTACCTCTCACCCTGCTCTCCCAAAGTATTGTGAAATTTTCTGCTGCTTTTTGTTCTTTTCTGTATCTTTTGTGACTTGTGGTGGCTTTCTCTGGAGCCTAGGTCACAGTCAAGGATCTACCCCTCCCTGTTCAGACCTTTGCCCCTCCCAGTGAAACACCCAAGACCCCTTCACCTCTGGCCTCAGGGTAGGGCGCAAACTCGGATGCACTACTGGGGAAACTCATTCATCTCACCCAGGGGCCAGGCTGCTTCCCTAAAACTTGCTCCCAGGTTCTGTCCTCCCCGCTGGGCTTCTGACTATCTAAGCTTTGTGCAAAGGGAAACTGAGAGCCCCATCATGGGGGAGAGGGAACAGAGCTTGAAGAAGTGACCACCCACCTGGGTTTTTAGAAGGACCTGAGCCTCAACCAAGATTGGGAAATGGAAAATCAGTGTCTCAGGGGCCCAGTCCCTGGACTGTGGGACTCCGGATCCAGGCTGGCAGCTAGGAGTAGGAGGTGCTGGGCACTCTCCCAATTTCTGTGGGCTCCTAAGGGAGAGAGCCTTTGAGCTAGCCTGGGACCCATGGAAGCCTATTATCAGGAGGGAGGAAAGGCTCTGGACATGAGAGGCCAGGTAAGGGTCCACGAGCCATGGCATTCTGGGAGGTGGCTGTTGGGTCTCTATGGGAGGCACCCACAAGGCTTAAGGAACCATTCACTGACACAGGCAGATCCCAAGCCACAAAAACTGTAGATTGACCCTAAACACAGAGAGACTCCTAACTTTAGACTCACAGAAAAAGGGCCCAGGACAATGAACAGGCAGTGGGACTTGGGTGTGAGCTGACTCCAGAAATTAGGAGGCTCCAGGAGATGCTGGTACAAACAGAGCCCTTAGGTGAGGAGACCCACTCTCCCCTAATCACGAAACGCTGTGTCAGGTGAAAAAGTTTCCACACTTTGAATCTGACAGGAGGCTCACAGGCTCAGAGAACACAGCCAGAGCGGACCCGTCAGGATGACAGGGTGAGGCAGGGCGGGAAACTGAAGGTCATAACACGCACAAAAGCCCAAATTACTGGAAGGTTGCCAAGCAGGCGATGGGCAGGAATCAAGCTCAGAGGTTTTCTGACTGACCGAGTTCTTTTAGAAACATCACGTCACACCCGTCTGAGACAGTGTGGACCCCATCTGAGAGGTCCTGCACTGGCACAGGGGGCGTGAACACTCCTCACGCATGAGTGTCAGAGAGTCTACACAGGTGGAACTGGACCACCTGACCCCCTGCCCCCATCCATTCCACAGCTAGCGCCATCCTTGGTCACTCTGTTCCAGCCTCCTCTGAGGGAGCTCCAAGCGAACAAGGCCACACCTGCTGGTGTGTCTCATAAATGCCTTCTGGGAACCATGACAGTGGCCTGGAGGCAGGGTATGCCAGTCTGGGGCATAGAACAGCCACACCCTCCAAACAGGCAACAAGTATGCGGCCAGCTACCTAAGCCTGATGCCCGAGCAGTGAAAGTCCACAGAAGCTACTGCTGCCAGGTCCACACACACGAAGGGCACCGTGGAAGACAGTGGCCCCTGCAGAATGTTCATAGGTTCCCAACCCTCACCCACCCTACCCCAGGGGCCTGGGTTTGCAGGATCAAAGACAGTGGCCCCTGCAGAATGTTCATAGGTTCCCAACCCTCACCCTACCCACAGGGGCCTGGAGTTGCAGGATCCCAGGGCAGAGGTGTTCCCTCCCACCCCAAGTCATCCAGTCCTTCTGCCAACACCCAATAAACCCTCAATAAATGTCCTCCTTGTCAATCAGAAAACATGCTCATTTTTGTTTATCCACTTTCCATCCTAAATTTGATTATCTCCAACCAAAGGTGAACAGAGTCCTTTGAACTTGTGACAATGCTGCCTGGGAGCATCCTGGTGTTTCTCTGAGGCATCCTTTTTCCATCACCCCATCCCCATAGAATGTTCCAGAATAAGGAAATAGTCTTCAGAAGGACCCAGGCATCTTCATTCTTACCCATGTCTCCGCTGTGCTTCCTGCTGCCCTGTGAGCACATCCAACTCTGGCTGCCAGGGGACACACCCTCCTTACATCCCTACGGCCCTGGGAGAACATCTCAGCTCCCTTCTTTGTTGCCCTTGGCCCTCACTGTCCAGATGCCATCCCTCTCTCAAGGTGTTTGTCCATCCCCCTCCAAGGCCATGTGGTCACCCCACCTGTATTTCCTCATCAAAGCCTAGAGCATCTCCCCTTCTCCATGGGCACACTCTGTTCCCGTCATCCCAGGGACCCTACCCTCCACCCCCACAAACCCCCCTTGTAACAATCACTGATGGGACACTTACCCCTTGGACCCTGGTCACTCACCCCGCATCCCCTTCTGGGTGTCTCCCATCCCAGGCTATCACTGGATGTCCCAGCTGTATTCAACATTCGTAGGGGACAAGGGTCAGCTCTGCTCCTCACTGACGCCACTACGAAAGTCTAATGTCCTCCTGTGCACAAGTGGTCAAATGACTGATGAGTTCAAAGTCAAGAGTCAGATTCTGGGGTTATGCCAGGAGCTTGGGTGAAGCTGATTTGTCTTCTGAAGAACTCAACATGGGATCTGAGCTATAATACACGCACACGTGCACTCACACACCATGCACACAAACATATATGTTCATGTTGGGCATCTTTCTGGAAGGATCAGGAAGGGCCCAGGTAGAAGGGGCTGCAGTCAGGCCCAGGAGCTTGGCCCATGAGCAAAGCAAATCTGGGACCTGTAGTCTCCAGGCTTTGGGACTAGGGGTCACCCCTGGATATGGGAGGGTGGGGCAGGGTTCTCTGTCCAGGCCAAGGATAAGACAGAAGATGTGGACGAAATTCTGATCAGGGATCAGCAGGCCACATCTCAGCGGTCAGGAGAGGTGCTTGCTGCAGGGTGCCAGGTGTGTGTCCCAGGTGTGAGCTCTTCAGGTGATGGACCCAGACCAGGATGCAGGTCCAGGCTGTGTATGTCCAGGCCCCGCACTGCACATGTCCATCCACTGTGGGTGCCCCCCGTGCTGGTGACACTCCTGAGCACAGGCAGTGTAGGTCACCCGTGCATATAGGGGACTGCACAGCACACACACATGGCGGTGTGTGTAAGCCGAGGGAGCTGAAGGGGACGCAGAGACCCCACACACCTAGAGCTCTTGGAGGAAACCACACTGCCAGTGAGGCCTATGACCTCCCTTGAGGAGCTCTCCTCTGGGCCATCGCAGCTCTCATCCAGCACACACAGCCCGTAGGTAGGAAGCTGTCCCCATAGGCTCAGGAGGGGGACCTGGGCAGTGACCTGTGAGCTGCTCCTTCAGGACAGCTGGGCCAAGGATGCTGGAGCTCAGGCCTTACAGTGGGGTCTGTGTCCCTGTGGTCAACGTCATTCTCCCCACAACCCCCATTCCCGATTCCAAGTCTATCCCACCATGAGCTCCAGTGCTGAGGATTGTGGGGGGCATCAAGGACCCTCCCTACCATTCCCAACTTCTCAAAGGGGTCCCAGATGCACCATGTCAGTGGTATCACCCAGCCGCTCACCTCCTCCTCCTCCCTGGCATTCCTGACACCAGCTGATCCAAGCCACCCAACTCCCCCTCAGAAATGCAATTACCTGGGAGACAATTCCACACAGACCTGTCAACCCTTCCCATGACTTGGGTAGATGAACTCCCACGCCCCCAAGGAAGTGATATTCGGGTCAGTAGAAGGTAACCCCTTCACCCCACCTGTGGCTCACCCACCCATGAGAAAAAGGGGCTGGACCCTGCATCTTGTGAGCAGCTGCAGGGTTGCAGGGGGGTTGGGTCGGGTGTATTAGGAGGGTTTGTGTGCAGGGTTATATCACAGTGTAATGTGTTCGGAAGTGGCACCAAGTTGACCGTCCTCGGTGAGTCCCCTTTTCTATTCTTTCGGGTCTAGGGTGAGATTTGGGGAGACTTTTCTCACCTTTCTGTTCTCTCTAGGGCAGGGGTCTCAATCTCTCTGGGGTCTGCCACCATTGCCTTTTTTCCTGGCTCTAAACTCCTCCAGCCTGTCCCTTCTTAGGCACTTGGTGGGGCATGATGGGAAGATCCCAGTGACCTCTTCCTGATCCCTGCTGAGACCTGAACCTGCCGGTCTCACTTACAGGGCATTCTCCCCTGGGCTCAGGGATGCTCTGCTCTCTCACACAGAGGCTCCAGGCCCCACAGACCAGCAGAGCAGGGCTCTGGCTAGGGCACCAGGGCCGTGGGACAGGGGAAGGATGCGGGAAACAGTTCAGCTTCCTAGGGTTCTGGGTCCCAATAATGGGGCTGCTTTAAAAACCAAGAAGAGACATCTCTGACTGGGGACTTGGGGAAATAAAGGTGGACAAGGATGGAGAAAGAATGTTCTGTGAGGTGGCCGCAGGGTGCTGGGTCCCTCCTCCCCCAGGACAGACAGGCTGCCACGGACAGGGTGGTTCTCAGGATATTCAGGCCAAAGTTAGAGCCTTCCCATCCTACCGAAAAGGAGAGACCCCAAAGCAGATGCTGAGGGAGGCACTCCTGGTGGGCACAGGTGACAGGGACCAGTCAGGACAGACAGATGTCTTAGCACAGCCAGATCTCCCAATAGCACAAGGAGACCCCATAGAGTAGACAGAGCACTAGGTTCAGAACAGAAAATATACCTCACATGCAAGGCCTCCATCTCCTGGATTCCCAGGGACCCGGCTCCCGGGACTGACACCCCGTCCCCACCGAGGGGTCCCTGTGGGAAAGTGGTGCAGAGACTGCAATGATGGTGCCAGGGGGACAAGTGGGGAAGAAACTCACTCATCAAAAGGGAGGAGAACCTAAAAACAGGACACAGATGCCCTCGTGAATAGACCCAGAGGAGGGACCTGGCAGGGGATGTTCAGACAGAGACGTCCCCCAAGGAAAGACGAGGGCTCAAGGCTGAACCCAACCAGTGTCAGGGAGCATAGGTGAAGTGAGAGCTGCGTGATAAGGAGGGGAGAATCTGAAGAGGAGACTGGAGCAAAAGAGGCCTGATTCTCCTCAGTCCTCAGATGCTGAGGAATTTCCCATCAGCAGATGAGGGTCCCCACCACCGCCAAGTTGACCTCAGTACAGCAAGACCCGGCCTAAGGTCCCTATCCTGGGCCTTAGTCCTTCATCCACCTGAAAACTGAGGTCAGGGGCTCCCCAGGTGGACACCAGGGCTCTGACCCCCCTCCCCCTCATACACCCCGCAGGTCAGCCCAAGGCTTCCCCCTCGGTCACTCTCTTCCCGCCCTCCTCTGAGGAGCTTCAAGCCAACAAGGCCACACTAGTGTGTCTGATCAGTGACTTCTACCCGGGAGCCGTGGAAGTGGCCTGGAAGGCAGATGGCAGCGCTGTCAACGCAGGAGTGGAGACCACCAAACCCTCCAAACAGAGCAACAACAAGTACGCGGCCAGCAGCTACCTGAGCCTGACGCCCGACCAGTGGAAGTCCCGCAAGAGCTACAGCTGCCAGGTCACGCACGAAGGCAGCACCGTGGAGAAGACAGTGGCCCCTGCAGAATGTTCATAGGTTCCCACCCCTCACCCCACCCACAGGGGCCTGGAGCTGCAGGATCCCAGGAGAGGGTTCTCTCTGCATCCCAAGCCATCCAGCCCTTCTCCCTGCACTCAAGAAACCTTCAATAAATATCTTCACTCAACCAAAAACCTTGGGTTTTGTGTTTTGTTTCTGTTTATACATTTTCTACCCTAAATTGGTCCAACCTGCAAGATGAACAAAATTATTTTAGACTTGTGAGAATGGAGTCTGGATTGTTTCTGAGAGGTAGTTCCACCATCACCTAGAAAGGCCCACAGAATATTCCAGAACACAGCCTTGAGAAGCAGGTCCCAGGATTGCCCCTCTTTCCTATACGTGTTGTGCTTGTGTGGACATGTCCACCTCCAGCGGCCTGGGGCAATCTCTCCTTGGTTCCCCATGGCCTCCAGAAGAACGAGTTCCCTCCACAGATCATCAGGTCTCCCTCCCTGGACAGTCTCCCTCTCTCAAGGAGTCCTTCCTTCTCAGGCAGGAGCAGCCTTTCCAATCCACGGGCCCTTGGTCTCTCCTACTCCTTAGGGGCCCACCCTGTTCCTGACTCCCAGGACCCTGCCCTCTACCCCCACATCTATCTCTGAAACAGGCACAGCCTGGACCCTGATCGTCTGGACCCAAGTCACACACCCCACAGGCCAGCTGGGTACCCTTGGTCCCACATGTGTCACCAGTGTCCCTGTTACATTCAAGTGCTCAGGGAAATAAGGGTCAACTCCACGCTCACCCCTAAGTAGTCAGTCCAAAACTGACCACACCTCGAATACCTAATGTCCAGTTATCTATGGATGGTCAGTGGGGCTGGGGAGGTCAAGGTCAATCAAGAGATTCCGGAGTGGTGCCAGAGATGTGCCTGTAAACCAATTGGTCTTTTTAAGAGGTGTATGTGGGATCTAAGAACCGGGCTGATTATTGTCCTGGAAGGTAGCACAGGATGGGGGGACAGGCTATGAAACAAACACACATACACACATGTTCACAAACACAAACACATATAAACATCTCATAGGCACACAAGTATTCACAAACAAACTTGCCTGCGTGCAAACACACACACACACACTCTCCTGTGCTATTGAACATTGCCACATGGGCATCCCACTGAGGCTGTGCTGGGCATCCAGAACCCTCCCAGGGGACTCGGTTCTCCAATGGGGACCAGCTCCACATTCCTTGTGGCATAAACAGGCTTCTGACTTTTTCCATGGTGACAGTCTCCAAAGGAGCTGAGCGGGGACACATGGCTTCCTCCAGGACAAACAGTAGCAGGGGACCCAGATGTGATGTGCAGACATGCCTCCTCCCTCTCCCTCTCCCTCTGGGGGTGGAGGGATCCCTAACTTCCAGTCAAGTGTGCATGCATCCATGGAGGGGCCATCCCCCTCAGCCTCCTATCGGCCAGACCTGCTTCACGACAGGGCCGCTGGACCTGGTCGCCCAAGCAGCTGCAGCGGGGAACGGGTCGGGTGTGTCAGGAGGGGTTTGTGTGTGGGGCTGTGTCACTGTGTGCTATTTTCGGAAGGGGCACCAGGCTGACCATCATCGGTAAGTTTCTCCGCTTCTCTCCTCTTTGACATCCCAAGTGAAATGTGGGCAGATTTTTCCCTTTCCTGTCTGTCTAAGGCTAAGGTGTCAGCCCGCCTGGGTGTCTGGAATCTCTGCCCCTCCTTGCCTGGGCTCCTGGGTCAGTGCTGTCACCCATCCTCTCCTGGGGTTCTGGCCTCTCTCTCCCGTGGTTCTGTCCTCCGTAGGTCCCAGTTATGGGGCCGTGTTAAACAGTGACAGGAGGCCTCTGACTGAGGACGTGGAGAGATGGGGGAGGAAATGGGAGGAGGAAAAGATAGAGGAAGAATATCCCGTGAGAAGGTGGCCCCACAGTGCTGGGTCGCACTCCCTCCCCCAAGACAGGCAGGACACCATGGACAGGGTGGTGGGTCTCAGAAAACAGGCCCTAAACATGGACCCTTACCAATTCCTCCACTGGAGGAAGACCCCAAAGCAGATGCCCAGGACAAGGACTCCTGGTAGGGACAGTGACTGGGACAGATGCCTGCTTGTCAGGGAAAACCCACTGGAGACTCAGATCCCCCATATAACTTCTCACGACATGGAGACTCTTTCGAACATACACAGTTCCGCATTCAACTCAGGGAGTAAAAAAAAAAAAAAAAATGCCTCAAATGGAAACCTTTGATCTACTGGAATCCATCCTTCGTGACTGACACCCTCTCTCGCCAGGCAGACCAGATGGGTCTCTGCAGGGAGGTGGGGTGGGGGCTGCAATGATGGCACCAGGGGGATGTGGGGGGAAGAAACCCACTCCCATGAGAGAGAAGAGTCAGAATACAGGACAAACAGCTGCCCTGTATGAAGAGACGAGAACAAGGGGAACTGATAGGAAGCGCTGAGACAGACACCCCCAACACAGACAGATACCCAGGGTGAGATGTGGTCCCGGACTCCATCCCATCCAGTGTGGAGCGAGCACAGGTAGGGGTCTGTAGGCGATGGAACATACGAAAAACAGATCCAAGAGGGGGTCTGTGACTCCCCAAGAGTGGGGGGCACTGAAGAGCCTCCCATCTGAGAGGGAGTGTCTCCATTCACCGCTGACCTGACCTCAGTCCAGCAAGAGTCCGGCCTGAGGTCCCTGCCCTGGGCCTTAGTCCCATGCCCACTTCAAGACTGAGGTCAGGGGTTCCCCAGGTGGACACCAGGACTCTGACACCCCTCCCCCTCATCCACCCCGCAGGTCAGCCCAAGGCTTCCCCCTCGGTCACTCTCTTCCCACCCTCCTCTGAGGAGCTTCAAGCCAACAAGGCCACACTAGTGTGTCTGATCAATGACTTCTACCCGGGAGCCGTGGAAGTGGCCTGGAAGGCAGATGGCGGCACCGTCAACACGGGAGTGGAGACCAGCACACCCTCCAAACAGAGCAACAACAAGTACGAGGCCAGTAGCTACCTGAGCCTGACGTCCGACCAGTGGAGGTCCCACAACAGCTACAGCTGCCAGGTCACGCACGAAGGGAGCACCGTGGAGAAGACAGTGGCCCGTGCAGAATGCTCTTAGGCCCCTGACCCTTACCCCAGCCACAGGGGCCTGGAGCTGCAGGATCCCAGGGGAGGGGTCTCTCTCCCCATCCCAAGTCATCCATCCCTTCTCAATAAATAGCCTCATTGTCAACCAGAAATCTTGCTCCTTCTTTTCTTTTTTTATCTCACATATAATTTGAGGTTTCCCCTGCGTTCTCAGTGTTGGGTGGGGGAATCCTGGCACCCAGTGGGAAAGTAGCCCTGAGGGAGAGTCTCATAGCCTCCCAGGGTGTCTCCTGATGAAATAGGCCAGGATAGGAGAAATCTGATCACTGAACACCAGTCCCTCTGCCCTTTCACTCCTCCCCCTTCTCCTCAAAGCACAGCCCCCCTCTCCCTGCCTCCTTCTTGGAAGAAGTTGTCTCTGGCTGGACCTCCAGTTATATACTCTTATCTCTACCCTAACAGAGATCCTTCACCCACCATCTCTTTTCCCAGCCTGAAAACCCTGCTCCAGGCCTGGAGCCTCTTTGCCCCTGGCCCTCACCCCTGGAATGGCCCTCTTCCCTCTGTGCCCAGCTCAGCTCCCACCCACCCTCGCCCCCTCCCTTTCATCCCTGTGAGCCAAACTGTCCAGGACACTCCAGCACCACTGACTTCTCAAGCTCTTAAATGAGGGATCCACCTCATTTCCGCACCTGATAGCAGGTTCAGACATTTAAGAGGAATTGGAGGAAGCCAGGAAGGAAACTTACACAAAAGGCCTACAGGAGGCTCAGGACACTTGCAAAAGACAGGCTCTGAACTCCCTAGGAACTAGTGCAAGGAGGGTAATACGCACTTCATCATTTCTGTAAGTTTAAACAAACCCTTTGCTGAAGGCAAGGTGGTGCTCTCAATGCTAAGGCCAGGGATCTCTTCACAACTAAAAGTGGGAACATGTTCTCTCCAAGGCCTCACAGCAGTAATGGGATTTGAACCTTGAGGCATGCACAGGTAACTGTCTGGCAGCCCTAAGACACGGTGATTCTCTCAAGTGCATGAACATTAAAGTCACTGGCCATCTTTGGGAACATCATTTTTGGGAACACTTCTCCATGGGATCCCGGGCCTTCACTGAAAACCAGGTCCCTCTTCAGGACTGTCTCTGCGAGTTTCCCTGAGTCTGGGGCTCCAGTTGCTCTGAGAGGAAGGTGTCGGTGGATAGAACACAACCCAGCTCCACCCAGCCCTCCCTGCATGGTCCCTCCTCTGTAGAGTGGGGGCACCTGCAGGGATCAGGCCTGGGTCACCATGGGTGAGGCCTGGGAGGGGGACCCTCGTGGCATCCTGGGGAGTCTCTCCCACGGCTCCTGTTTGACTTTCCTCTGGCTGTTATCACAAATGACCTCTAAATTAGTGCTTAAAACATCACACATTGATTCTCTCCTAGGTCTGGAAGTCAGAAGTCCAAAATGAGTCCTCGATAGCTAAAATCAGGGTCCCCGCAGGGCAGGCTCCTTCTGGGGACTCTGGGGAGAATTCGTTTCCAGGACTTTTCCAGGTTCTAGAGGACAAACTCAGCTCCTGGCTCTTTCCTCCAGCTTCAGAGCCAGAGCTCAGCATCTTCAAATCTGTCTCCTGCTCTTCTCTACCTCCCTACCTTCCTCTCTCTCTCTCTTCCTTCCTCTCTCTCTCCCCCTCCATCCCGTCTCTCACTCTGACCCTCCTGCCTCCCTCTTTCTTTTATAAAGACCCCAGCTTGGACCCACCTGGATAACCCAGAATCATTTCCCACCTCAGACTCCTTAACGCCATCACATCTGCCAGGTCCCTGTGGTCACACAACATGACACATAGACAGGTCCAGGACTGGGACGTGACTGTTCCCAGGGGGCCTAATTCAGACGACCACAGCTCCTTTCCCGAGTTCCTCTTCCTTTATCTGTGCCCTGCCCAGTCCAGGCTGAGTGACTCCTGGACGCCGTCCCAGTCCAGCCCCAGCCCTTCCTGTCCCTGGTCTCTTGTGGCCCCTTCTCCTCTTAGGGTTCCAGGAAGACACTGGGAGTTTAGCCACAGCTCTAGGGCACTGTCTTCCAGCAGGCCCCCTGGGGCTAAATGCTCTCCAAGACAAGCCACCCTTGGAGGAAGATTCTATTGTGATCCTCACCCGAGGATGGTGACACCACAGCCCAGAGAGCCTCAGTGACCTTCCACAGACCACAGCAGGTACTCAAACCTGGCCTGCCCAACTCCAGACCTCAGGCCACCTGGCCACGCCTACCCACTTCATCCTACTGCCCTGGATGCAGGCCTCCCTGTCTTTCTCCATGTGTAGGAAAGGCTCCCAGGATATTCCAGGGCTCCAGGTTCTGATGAGAGTGCGGGAGGGGACCAAATACGCAGCCTCAGGGCCTGGGTTCACCCCTGCAGATGGCAAATCCCATCCACCCGTGGGAGTTCACCAGTTCCTTCTTAGAAGACACCAGCCTGTAGCTACCTTGGCCCAGGAAAGTCAGGAGCCAGGCCCACCACACAATAGCCATGGCACATATCACCTGATATATGAGATGCAAAGTGTAGGGTGGACGGGCCAGGGATGAGTGCCCCCAACTCTGCCTTCCTCCCCACAGGCCCACCCACAGGGCTGAGCAGGGTGGCCCTAGACCCAGCCATCTTCAATCTGCTCATCCACTGGCATCCCCACCACCGTCCCCTCAACATGCACAGGACGCCCGCCAGCCACCCAGGCCAGTTCCTGAGGTGAAGCAAGTGACGGGGGTACTTGTTCCTGCCCAGCCCAGAGTTTAGACTGCAGATGAGACCCCCTTGAAGAAAACAAGGGGCAGCGGATACTGAGGATTCCATGTGGTCAGCAGAGGTGGCCTGGTGGCAGCAACAACCTCAAATAGGCCCAGGATCTGGACCAAGGCCTGGAGGACAGAGAGAGGATGGGTGTGTTAGAGGTGAGTGGGAACAAAGATATAGGACTGACCACAGCACCCCTTCTTCCCACAGGGCCACAGCAGTGCACAAGGGCCCTAATGGAAGCACCCTGAAGGCTCACCTCAAAGACCCTGTACTCAGTCCCCCATGTCACCTGGCCTGCCACCCTACTTAACACCCAGGAAGTCCTTGGAGTCTGTGCCACATGGGTGGGCTTCCTCCCTGGAGAGCTCAGAGCCCACTGGACCCAGGCCCCCATCCCGGGACCCGGGATTCAAGTGACAGAGGTATTGGGCCAACAACGGATGGAAGGGGAGAGGGGCCTTGGGTTGGAGTAGCCAGATTCTTCATGCCCCTTCTTCTTCCTCTGGATCAAACATCATGGTCAGGGTACTTGGGGGAGGGGCCAGGAGAGAATCCCCTCTTCCTAGAGACCCCATCCCATTCCTGGTTCTGGATCCAGGGTTTTCGGTGTCCCCCACCTCCAGGACAGTCAGTCCCTGGCAGGTGGCTCCCCAAGCCCAATCCCCTCCATTCCTGGTCCCAGTGGCTCCCTCAAGATCCAAAAATTCCTGACAACATCTTCAGTCAGGGACTGCTCTCCCAAAGGAGGAGCACATGGGGCTCTGGGTCTGGGGCCCCAGCACGGAGCACAGTAGGTGTTCGAGGGGGCTGTTGAGTGGTGGCATGTGAGACTCTTTGTAGAACCCCAGATTCAGGTTCGTGTGCCCGATATGCAGCTGAGGTCCAGCACTGAGACGTAAGTGCTTAAGGATAGACAAAGATTTATTTGATTTAGCCAAAGTAAGAAGGCAGGAGAGAAAATCCCTCAACTCCATGTTAGCGAAAGGATGAAGCAGGGAGTTTTTATGTGGCTAAGAAGTGAGGGAGGTGGCATTTCAAGGGAAAAGTCTGTGTTTCTTCAGTCTCAGGTAACACCTTAAGCAACCAGATTTGTGGGCAACAGGGGCTGGTCTCTATGTCCTTAAAGACATTCACTCCTACAAAATACTTTTGTGACTCTGAAGTTATGTCCTCCTCCTCCTTCTTGACAAAGAAACAGGACATCCGCAGCTTATGATCATATTGTGTGAACAAGGGATGCTGGGCAAAAAGCAAGCAGTTAACGTGTACAAGCAGGCAAGGGCCAAATCAGAATTTTCTTTATTTCAGTCACAAAAATGCTGGGTACTGAAATCTCAACACACCTGGTGTCACTCCCAGAGCACAGGCTAGGACAACACACACCTGTCCCTGGAGAACTCCGGGCCAGTTCCCTCTTCTCCCACTGCTGACCCCCTCTTAGTTCACTTCCGCTCCTCCCTTCCCCGACCGGAGAACCTCCAAGGGTTTCCATTTCCTCCAGGATAGCACATGCTGCCCTGTAAGGAGTCGCTAAAGTCAAGAGCAAGGAGGCAGGGGGCTTTCGAGCAAGAGGAGACCTGATTTCAGAGACCCTCAGTCCCCAAGACAGACGCATGCCCTTCAAGGGAGCGGCAGCCCCAGGCTGTCAGGATGGGAGCACGTGGTCCTCTTCAACCCACCTCCTGAACCTCCTCTGCTCCTCGCACCCATTTCCCTGTGGTCCCTATTTCCCTGTGGCCCCCATTTCCCTATGGTCACTGTAATCGGACCCCACTCCAGCCCCTTTCCCCAGTGACTCTTGGAGCTGGGGTTGATGCTGGGGCTGGAGCAGTGACCAGCCCGTGGTGACCCTGGCCCCATCCAGGTACCAGGCCACTGGCAACCAATCAACTATGGTTTCCTGAGCACCCATATGTACCCAGCCTGGGCTTGGGACCCAGACCTAGTCCTGCCTGGCCCACTGCAGCAGTAACGGTGGGGTCTTCCTGGAGAGAACCTGCTCCACAGTCTCTCTGCCCCACCATCTCACTATGAAGGGCCAGGGACCCTCCTGATGATCACCTTAGGGCAAGCACAGATGTAATCCAGGAAGTAATAAAATATGGATGCTGCCTTCCCTCTGGCTGCCACCTCCCTCTCTCCTGCCTTTCACAAGTGGTAATCAAGGGCTGCTGGGCTCCACAGTCCCCTCCTTCCTGCCTCAAGCCCAGCGCTCTCACTGCCACCCCATCACAGCCCCATTGGCCTACAAGCGGCTCAATCCAAGAGTCCCCTCACTGTCCTCCTCCTGCTGACCTCTGGATGGACTTGGCAACTCATGTCGCTCTTGTCATCTTGAAGTCCCTCACCCACCCACCCCCCTAGGTCC